TCCGGAGTCTAACAGGACTTGGTTTGTGAGAGGGTTTATAAGCCAGGTGAATAAATGACAACAGGAAAGTATGAATTCAAATGTAAGAAATGACTGAACAATAATGACCCCAAATAGAAAATTGCTACATAATTTGCTTTGGTTGCCTAAACACATCTACTTCCTTGGTAACTCTTCCTTGCAGTCACACTCATCATTTTCAGAAACATTAGTTAGGAAAGTGTTCAGATGTAATCGTCGCTAAGTAACCAGTAACCACACATATTTACTAACTCTTGAATAAGTCAACTGATGCTTGGTTATTGCCAGAGTACTTCTGTGTAGTTTTAAAAAAATATTAGGCAGTAAAGCCTGTCATGTCCAGATAACACAACTATGCTATTATTATTAGTTCATTACCCATCTTACGTAGCCAATTTCAATATAAAAAAGAACTAATGAATTATCTCTTAATTATTAATGAGTACTTAGAAGTACAAGATAGTTTTTCATAGTAGGAAGTATTCTTTTCAATTCACTGTTTTCTTTCCACTTGGTAAATCCGGAGATGAAGGCATAGACTCAGTTATCTGCAAGGCACTGGACATTTTAATAGGCGCAATAGACCCAGATCACTTCACAGATCTTAGCAAAGGACAAGGATACCTGCCACAGACAGGAAGTGCTGGTGGCAGAGACCATCTGGCACATTACAAGAAAACAACCCACCCACTTACCCACAAAATCTGCTTCATCACCCTGTTAAAATTTTAAACGGGATTGCTTGCTGATTTGATACAGTCACGCATGTAACTGAATTCTCATTTCTATGAATTGAGTGGTAGTCTCATAAGACACAGTAAAAGGAAAGATATTTGAGTTTTATTTGGCAAGGGGTATACAAGAGGCAGTAAAGCTTCGGGAGGAAGAGCACTAGGCTCCGGAGGCACAGAGATGTGGGCTCAAGTCTTGGCTGAGCCACCTATTAGCTGTCTGCCTCTGGGAAGGCTGCCTAACTTCTCTAAATCTCAATCTCCTCATTTATAAACTGGGACCCAAAATGAACATATGCCAGGGTTGAGGATTATTGCATAATTCATGTAAGTATTAGCACAGGACCAGGCAGAGAGCAACGGCTAAATGCTAGGTGGTGGTAGTTTAAGCCTTCATCCTTAACAACATTAAATCCTTCTTTGAACCTTGAACTGAAACTAGGTGATTTTTAACACCTTCAAAGATTTTATTACTAATCTTCATTCCATACTGTCCTTCTTGTTGTTGCTGTCATAGATCACTCCATCCATGTAAATAACACCATCTTCCATCAGTGTTCAAGCCAGACAAGTGTAAGTCATGGTGGATTCCTCCCTTTCCCTCAGTCCCCTGTCTGATCCGCTGGGAAATTCTATTGATTCTACACAAATACTCCCTTGCTATTGCAATCACCACTGTCCAATACACCATCGTCTCTTCCCTACACACCTACAGTTAACCTTCTGCTGGCTTGTCTGAACCTCTCCAGTCCATTCTTATCAACACACCAAGAGGCCTCCAATGGCTTTCTCTTAATTCACATAAAATTGAATTCAAACTC